CAGGGACGCACTCCCCCATCCTTCTCCCTGCACAGGTCATCGTACAGGGTGACCAAGGCAGATTCAGTACCGTACCCAGGTCTGAAGCCAGACTGAAATGGGTCCAGATAATCAGTTTCATCCAAGAGTGCTTGGAGTTGTCCCGCCACCACCCGCTCTAACTCCTTGCCCAGAAACAGGATGTTGGCCATTGGTCTATAGTTAGTGGCCATCTCTGGATCCAGTGACGCTTTCTTCAGGACCGGTCGGACTACAGCCTCCTTTAAAGGGGCAGGCACCCAACCCTCCCTCAGAGAAGCGTTAACCACTTCCAAGATCCAGGTCCCAATCCCGTGCTTGGAATTATTTATTAACCAAGATGGGCAAGGGTCCAATAGGCAAGTGGTGGGATGTACTCGTCCAAGCACCTTGTCCACATCATCGGGCCGCAATAACTGAAATTCATCCAATAATTCTGGACCAGACGGCAGCATTGGCGTCTCCCCAGAAACCTCTGATTCATTAGTGGAGTCCAGCTCGTGACGAATCTGAGCGATTTTCTCCTTGAAATGCCTGGCAAAGTCATCACAGCAGGCCTTTGAGGGTGGAACTGGATCTTCCTTAGGACCCGGGCGAACCAGGCCTTGCACCACTCGAAAAAGCTCCGCCGGACGGCATTGTGAGGAGGCAATGGAAGCGGAAAAAAACCTCTTTTTCGCCGCCTTCACCGCCACAGCATAGGCCCGATAGTGGGCTTTCAAGTGTGTTCGGTCAGATTCATCCCGTGATTTCCTCCACCTATGCTCTAGCCGTCTCCCAACCTGCTTCATCGCCCGCAATTCAGGTGTATACCAAGGGGAAGAGCGGGCTCTGCCCAGTGGGAGAGGACGCTTAGGAGCGATCATGTCCACAGCCCTGGTCATCCTCCTGTTCCACAGTTCGACCAGAGCCTCGACAGGAGCACCAGTCTTGTCAGCCAGAAACTCCCCCAGGGCTTTCAGGAATCCATCCGGATCCATCTGGCTCCGGGTGCAGACCCACACAATCGGATCTGCACCCTTACAGAGGGAGAGGTCGCTCTCGAGCACAAACCTCACCAGGAAGTGATCTGACCATGACAGGGGAGTCAAACATAAATTTCTCACCCTCAGGTCACCATATTATATCCTAGGGGTCCTAACTGTCAGGAAGTACTTCCTGACATACAACCTGAAGTCAGGTTCCTTGAGCTTTTCCCCATTGGAACATGTTCTGACCTCCACTGCAGGGAAGAGCAGGTCACAGCCCTCCTCCACATGACATCTGCTCACATACCTATAAGTCACTAAAAGGTCTCCTCTTCTCCAGGCTGAAAGGACTCAGATCCCTCAATCTCTTCTCATATGTCATCTCTCCCACCCTAACTACCAATCTTGTGACCCTGCACTAAACTGATTCTAGCCTACCTATGTCTCTCCTATAATGCGGAGCCCAGAACTGGACGCAATGCTCCAGTTGTTGGTGCACCAGAGTTGTATCAACACTTCCCTAGTCTGGAAGCCACACTTCTGACTAGACATCCAAGGTTGTCATTTGCCTTCTTAACCACCATGTCACACATGTTCAGCCTGCTGCTCACAAGTACCCTGAGATCCCTTTCACAGGTACTGCTCTCCAGCCACTTGTTCCCCATCCTGTACCTTTGACACCTATTCCTGTGTCCCAAGTACAAGACTTTCCACTTAACTACATTGAATGCCATCCTGTTGTCTCCCACCTACTTCAACAGCCTGTCCAATTCCTTCTGTCCTATTTCTCAGGTTCAAATCAACACCTGAAGATGGAGGGCATGGTGCTGGCCTGCACCTCCTGTGGGTGACTTGCCTCCACATCTCCCCAGCTGATTCCCCGGTGGTTCCTTCCTCTTCATTCAGTCTGGAAGTGGGCTGCCGCTGGTTGGCCTGGAGGACTTCCTAGTCAATGTCCAGGAACTTTCCCCCCTCCCTTCTCTCCCAGAGGGAGGTGATGACATCCTCCAGACCCTTCATCTTTTCCTGCTCGTCATTTAAGATCATCAGTGGAGGCCCTTTTACTGGCTCCTGTCCCCAAAGAGGTTAAGGGGGAGGTTGCAAAGAGGAAGGCCTTTTCTGTGGTGGCCCCCCAATTTTAGAATGCCCTAGCTTTGGAGATTCATCAGGCACCTACATTATTAAGTTCTAGGCATCTGATGAAAACTTTTCAATTTTTGAATCTGTGACACTACTGAGACCATCTATATCAATGGCACTGGTTTTAATGTATTAATTTTATTAATTTATGTTTCTGTCTGAATATATAGTGTTTTATCTTGCTTATTTATTATATTTTAACTATTATTTTATGCAATTTTATTATTGACACATTCATTATAATGGCCACCCAGAGCGCATGATGCTAAGGAGTGGCTTGTATACAGATTTAATAAATATTTGGTTTTCCTCTTCGTTCATGTGATTAATAGTTCAAAAGTTCTTTCTCCTGAACCATTGGTCATTCTGGAAATGTCTCTGACTAATTGCACTCTATCTGGTTTCATATATTCGTCAGGTGCACAACATATTTAGCATTTATCAGAGAAGGCTCTTTTTGTGAAGAGTGCTTATTTATTTATTTATTTATTTATTTATTTATTTATTTATTTAAAGGTTTTTGTATCCCTCTCTACACAGTGTCTCAGGTGCTTCTCTAGACTCCCCTCTAGGTCTTACTGCAGCAGGGATGTAGGTAGGACTGCTAGCACTGGAGGAATACGTAAGAGGAAAACCAGTTGAAGCAGAGTGTAATGCTTGCTGGGGTGATGAATGGGCTAGTAATATAGCTTATTCCTCCTGAAATGCCAAGATAGGAAATTTTCCTGGTTGGGACAGCATCAGGCGGTCTGGAAATAATTGCAGGAGGAGTGCTGCACATTGCAGAGTTTACAAGCCAACCAATCTGGAGGTGCTGGGAGTGGAGAATGATGTCTTTCTGGATGGAGACCAGCAGCCTTTCATGTGAAGAAAATTAACTCTTCTAGCTTGGGGGCAAGGCAATTTCCCTTCTTCAGTGTAGCTCAGCCTCATGTCCCAGTGATTCATGTCGCTGTGATTCAGTTTATCAAAGAATGCCATGGTGTTGCAGGGTTGTTTATAAAATCATAGACTCAGAGAATAGTAGAGTTGGAAGGGGCCAAGAATTGGGTCCATCTTCCTGTGCAATATAGGAATCCAAGTTAAGACATCCCTAACACATGACTGTCCAGCTGCCTCTGCCAGTGTGGGAGATCCCATAAGCTCCATGGGTCTTGGTTCCATTGCCATGCTTCTCTATGAGTCAGGATGTTTTTCCTGATGTTCAGCCAGAATCTGGTGTCCTGTAATTTCAGCCCATTATTCCATGTTCTGCACACTGGCATGATTGAGAAGCGATTGTTGCCCTCTTCTGTATAACAGCCTTGCAAGCATTTGAAAAGTGCTGTCATGTCTCCTCTTTTCTGGATAAGCATTCCCAGTTCTTTCAATATTTCCTCACAGGGCTTTGTTTCCTGACCCTATATCATCCTTGTCACTCTCCTCTAGCTTGTCTACACCCTTCTTGACATGTGGTGTCCAGAAGTGGACACTATTGAAGATAGGGCATAACTAGTGCCAAACAGAGGGGAACCAGTACCTCAGAAGTGAACATTAGTCTTTTCTACAGTTGCATCACACTGGTGGCTCGTATTCAGCATGTGATTTATAACAATCCCTAGATCCTTCTCACATGTCCTATTGTTGAGCCATGTGTTCCACATCTGTTATTGTTCATTTGTTTCCCTTGTTGATTTCATCCCTATGAATAGTTTTAAGTTTGCTAGGCCATTTGACACTTGGAACCAGTCTGCTAAACAACAATTAATGTATTCATTTTGTTTATTATGTCTATTGCCACCTTTTTTCCTCTTGCAAGGTGGCTTATAAGGTTCTTTTCCTCTCCATTTTACTCTCACAACAATCCTAGAGTCCGTGATTGCCCCAAGTCACTCAGTGTCAGCCTCGGAACATAAGTGGCAGCTTCAGATAGAGGGCTTAACACAATGTAGCAGAACCAGAGGTGGAGTCAGGAAAAGGCAAGCATTATATACCAGACTGGCGTGTCACAACCGGCAGTGAAAACAAAGTCAGGAATATGTGAGGGTCAGATTAAAGCAAAGACACAGCAGGACCAAATGCAAAAGCAGAGTGAGAGTCAGATACCAAGAAGACATAGCAAAACCAGAGGTGAAGGGAGAGCCAGGAACAGACAGAAGTCAAGATATGAGTGAATATGTTAAAGGGCTAGAGGCAGAGACCAGATCAGGAACACACAACCACCACCACAAAGACTCATATTACTGTGGCGAAGTTAGGTAGGACTCAGCAGCCTTTTGCAGAACCCCCTGTGGCTTCCAGCTAGTCTTCCTGATTGCACTGGTTGTAATCCTTATAAACACCTACAGGTCTGATTACAGATCCTGTAAGAATTGGCAAGGTGAACTAGGTTACCGTCTCTATCCAGCCACCATGGCAAGCTGTATCATTCTGCAGACCTTGACATCCAGTGAGCTTCATGGTCAAATAGAGACTAGAGTCAAGATCCTCTAAGTCCAGGTTTAGTACTCTAAATACTATACCACACTGACTCTGTATGTTTTATAAGTAGGAAAAATCAGTTCTTGCATTTTTCATCATGAAGGCATAATTGTCTCTGCAAGAACAGTGTGGCAAACAATTGGACTAGGTATTAGCCAAGTGCCATGAGCCCTTTTGACTTGTATCCTTCCAGCTAAGGAGATATGCAGTAGAGAGGCAAGTGGAAGGGAATGTGCCTTTAAGAACTGTGCTATGTGTGTATTAGTGCTGGTGGTGGTGGTGATGAAAGGCCAGCACAGGATGCTGTTTTTGAATGCAGAAATGATTGAATGAAACATGTAAAAATTACTCTGGATATATCAGCTGATAACTCTTGATCTTTAGGGAATTGTCATATCTCTGTTATCTTTTTAGGAGCAAAAACGTATGCTGGAGATGGGAATCACTGGACCAGAAGGGCATGCCTTGAGCAGACCTGAGGAGGTAACAACTGCATTCAGTTCAAGTTCACTAACGGCTAGGATCTGGTTTGTTTCATTTTTACCATTATATAAAATACAGTATGACATTTACAATTGTATTGAACAGTCTCATAGAATGCTGCAAAAGGGAGTTGAATTTAGTCTCGGAAATCCAGGATTAACTGGATATTGGGATGTGTTTTATGCATAAATACAGTGGATGAGGCATATTCTCATTAATTGTTGTGAACCTCTCAGAGAATTTCAGCTATTAGGTGGTATAAAAATAAATAAATACTTCTGTTCATTTACTTGTACTTATACCTTAACTGCAAACATGTTTTATCACTTAAAGACCTATCATTCTAAAATATAGGGATGTGGAGAGGTATGCATTTTTAAAATTTAGTACAGATGGTTGAAGTCAAGGGTTCACTACCTTCTTGACTCCAAGGGCTAAGAAGGGTACACATGCATGCATGCAAGTTTAAATCAACCAGATTTGTTTTCATGTTTCAGCTTGAAGCAGAAGCTGTTTTCCGGGCTATTACCATAGCTAGTCGAATCAACTGTCCACTGTATATAACCAAGGTCATGAGTAGGAGTGCAGCTGATATCATTTCACTGGCTAGAAAGAAAGGTACAGAATGTAGCTTTTCAAAGCATGGCTCATTATACTTCTGGCTGCAGAAAGTTGATTGGCAAAATTAGATCCTACATTCTTCTGGCAAAAGAATGACAGGATCAGGCACTGTTTACTTGTTTTGGTAGCTATTCCTGAAATCAGGGATGGAGACTATTTCAGCCTGTGGGTCAAACAAATTCCATTTTGGGGAAGCTCTCAGAGGTGGACAGGACTGAAGGTGAAGATAAGTGAGGCAAAAAAGCAAAACAAAACATATTTAAACAAATCTATTACTGCTAATAATTAGGAGATGTTATTTCAACCATTTAAAAATGGGGAAATGTACACAAGCTGGAAAACCAGCAATGTTTGGTGTTTGGGAGAAAAGGGACTATTTTGGGAACTCAGGAGGGCCCTGGGTCAGAGTTTTTCCACCCCGCCTTAAATGACCCCACAAAAAATAAGTTATTTTTAATACAACATAAATACAAAGATCTTTATCCTCTCCTTCATCCACCCAATGTACACCAAATAACACTACTACTTGTCAAAGTGTTAAAAAAACCAAATTTATCTTCTATAAAAACCAAGTTGTAACACAAGGCCTAGTTCATGCAGATGTGGAGTTTGTTTTCACAGGTTGAAGTCTTGTGGCTCAGAGTGAATAGACTACTTTGAATGAAAAGAGTTCAGTATTGGGGAGGCCAAACAAAAATCTTGATTGGGGCATTTAATTAATGGCTCATTTATACATGCAAATGATTACTTGATGCTGCAGTCATTAAGTGATGAATATTCATGGGGGAGTGGGGAATGAGTGATAGGTAGGGGTATCCTTGCTTTATCTCTGTTCAGTCAGTTGGAGATAACAAGGATTCATCTCCCCACTAGCTTTGTCCACCCCACATCATCCCCAAAGGAGAAGTGACAGGACAAGTTATACCTCAATGACTGAAGTGCAATGCTGCAGAGTATTCTTCTACTTGGTTTGTTAGTTGAGGTGACTTAAGTGCAAATGGGCTTTCTCTGACTGGAAAAAGCTAGCACTGCATTAAAAGTGGACCCCTGAATGCAGAGTGGAGAAGGCACTTTTCCACCTGTGCCTCAGTTGTGATAGCTGGCTCTGGTCTGGCTGGGTTCAGACAACACACCATGGTGTTTATTTTATTTATTTTTGTTTTTATTTTCTTAATATACACACATACATAAAAAGAATATAAAACAGAACAACCTAAAATAAACAGAACAAACTAAAATGAACAAAGTAAGCAAAGTTGTCAAGGGAATTTTAAACAAATGCAAGCCATACATTCAATCCCCCAAAACTAGCTATCTTAACAGAAAAAACCCATTAACCTATGCAACAATTATTTATTTATTTATTTATTTATTTAGAGTATTTGTATGCCGTCCCATCGCATAGCCTCGGGACGGCTTACATAAAATAAAATAAAACATAATACAAATAAAATCCAGATCCACCCTGGCTGCAGATTAAAACCTATAAGCTAATGTTAAAAGTTATTAAAATATTGTTGAAATAAAAAGGTCTTAGCCTGGTGTTGAAAAACAAATAACGATGGTGCCAGGCGGACCTCTCTGGGGAGCACATTCCATAGATCGTCCTATCACTTCAAGCTCTCTATTGCTTTTCTCTCTTTTCCAAACTCCCCTCAACTTCCATTAGTCAAACTAAGCATAATAAAATTTCCATTTATCACTGAATTTTTCTAAAGACCTTCTGTTTACATAGTTAGTTAACTATGCCATCACAGCATATTCTGCTAGTCTATTTCTCCATTCATCAATTGTTGGGGGCTCCAATGATTTCCATTTAGAAACAATTGTGATTCTTGGGGCTGTTGTCAAGTACTTGAATAACTCTGACATATATTTTGAAAGGATCTCTGGCACTATATTCAAAAGCATATTCTTGGGAATCACAGGAAACTTAGTCTTGATTTTTTTCTGCATTTCCGCATTTATCAATTTCCATTTTTTTCATTATTGCACAAGTCCACCACATTTTATTTATTTATTTATTTAAAACATTTCTATGCCGCCCCATTTGCTGAAGCCTCGGGGCGGCTCACATATGACAGAAAGTCCCATCCACTCTGCTACATTTCCAGCATTTTCCCTTGTCATTCTTGTCTACTTTTTGAATGTCTTTTGGAGTGATGTATCACCAATAAAACATCTTATATCAATTTTCTCTTAATGCTTGACTAGCAGTAGATTAAAATAACCAGAGATTTTCCAGAGATTCCAATGACATGGTGATATTTCTTCTCCAAAGTTGTTACCAAATTACCATACATTTCTTATCTTGATGACTTCCAGTACCATAATATAATAACAGTTTGTAGACTCTTCACAGTAAGTGATTATTCTGTTGTGTAATCAACTTTTCAAAATCTGTCAAATCTCTTAAAATACTTTCTTCTAGTTGTATTTCCCCTTTCAATGTTGAAATCAATTGATGATAAACAAACCATTGTATATTTTCCCCTTCATCTTTCAGTTGTTGCCAAGATTTGGCTCATCCTGATAGATCAATGGCGTCTTAATAAGTTATAGAATCAGGACCCAGGTGCTCCTGTACCCTGGTTTGTCCCTGGAATATTCAGGTGAGCTCGGTGTCCAGGGATGCTTTCCTCCAGTTACATAGGATGCACCAGCTTTGTCCCTACCTGGACAGATAGATCCTGAAACAGTCACCCATGCACTGGTAACATCCAAATTAGATTACTGTAATGAGTTCTAAATGAGGCTGCCCTTGAAGATGGTCCAGCAATTCGTACAGAATGGATCACTGCCTTGTTGTGGTGAAGGGGCTTGTGTAGCTCAATGAAGCTATGAGTTATGCCATGCAGGGCCACCCAAGATGGACAGGTCATAGCAGAGAGCTCTGACAAAAGGTGATCCGCTGGAGAAGGAAATGGCAACCCACTCCAATACCCTTGCCATGAAAACCCCATGGGCAGTACCAAAAGGCAAAAAGATATGACGCCGGAAGATGAGCCCCTCAGGTCGGAAGGTGTCCAATGTGCTACTGGGGAAGAACAGAGGGCTAGTACTAGTAGCACCAGAAAGAAGTGACTGGGTCAAAGCCAAAAGGACACTCAGTTGTGGATGTATCTGGTGGTAAAAGGAAAGTCCAGTACTGTAAAGATCTATACAGCATAGTGTTTTGCCAAGGGCAAAAGGTTCTTTTTAGATCCAGAAGCAATGTGCACACAGGTGGGTTAAAGGCTAAAGATTTTTATCCTAAAACAGGCAATAACATGAAAAAGGAAATACAATACTAAATAAGCTGGCTTCCCCTCTATCAGCCATCAGGAGCCCTCCCACCACCTTCACAAACGACAAGGAAAAAGCCCCTAATTCTTGGCCGGCATGTGTCTTCCTCCTTGCTCGGCTATATCTCACACTGGAACCTGCTCCAGCGGGGTTGCGAGGCTTCTCTCTCTCTACCCTAAATCTACGAGTCAAAACAGTTAACTAGCCACATCTGCTGTTTTGGGCTCTCACGGTGATAAGTTCCGCTGTTTACTTTTTCTGCATTCCAATTCTCTACCATCCTAATTAGCAAGCAGCTTGCCGGATGGCCTCAACAGCCAAAGGTGAGGCCTGGTTAAGGTAGGAATCAAAGGACAATTGTGTTATACCACCTATCTCCTCGGTATACAATAGTGTTCCAGAAATTTTCCTCTACACATAGGAAATTGGAATGTAAGATCTATGAATCAGGGTAAGCTGGACATGGTCAAACAAGAGATGGCAAGACTGAACATCGACTCCTTAGGAATCAGTGAACCAAAATGGACAGGAATGGGTGAATTTAATTCAGATGCCCATCAGGTACACTACTGCAGGCAAGAATCCCTCAGAAGAAATGGAGTAGCCTTCATAGTCAATAAAAGAGTAGGAAAAGCAGTACTGGGTTACAATCTCCAAAATGACAGAATGATCTCAGTTCGAATCCAAGGCAAACCATTCAACATCACAGTAGTCCAAGTCAATGCCCCAACCACTGATGCTGAAGAGGCTGAAGTTGACCTGTTCTATGATGACCTACAGCATCTTCTAGAAATAACACCAAAAAATGATGTCTGTATCATCCTGGGGGATTGGAATGCTAAAGTAAGAGGGCAAAAGATAACCAGAATAACAGGCAAGTTTGGCCTTGTAGTACAAAATGAAGCAGGGCACAGGCTGGTATAATTTTGTCAAGAGAATATGATGGTCATAGCAAATACTCTTTTCCAACAACCCAAGAGATGACTCTACACATGGACCACACCAGATGGTCAACACAGAAATCAGATTGACTATGTGCTCTGAAGCCAAAGATGGAGAAGCTCTATACAGTCAGTAAAAACTAGACCAGGAGCTGACTGTGGCCCAGACCATGAGCTTCTTGTTGCAAAATTTAGGTTTAATTGAAGAAAGTAGAGAAAAGCACTGGGCCACTCAGGTATGACCTAACTCATTTTCCTGATGAATATACAGTAGAGGTGACAAATAGATTTAAGGAATTAGATCTGATAGACAGAGTGCCTGAAGAACTATGGACAGAGGTTCGCAAAATTGTACAAGAGGTAGCAACTAAAACCATCCCAAAGAGAAAGAAATGCAAGAACGCAAAATGGCTGTCTGAGGAGGCTTTAAAAATAGCTGAGGAAAGAAGGGAAGTGAATGGCAAGGGAGAAAGAGAAAGATACATGCAATTGAATGCAGAATTCCAGAGAACAGTTAGAAGAGATAAGAATGCCTTCCTAAATGAACAGTGCAACAAATAGAAGAAAACAATAGAATAGGGAGGACCAGAGATCTCTTCAAGAAAATTGGAGATATGAAGGGAATGTTTCATGCAAAGATGGGCATGATAAAGGACCAAAATGGCAGGGACCTAACAGAGGCAGAAGAGATTAAGAAGAGATGGCAAGATTACTCAGAGGAATTGTGCAAGAAAGAGCTTAACGTCCCTGATAAACCACGATGGGGTGGTC